ACCCCGCTCATATGGTATTAATTTTATTTTTGCAGGTCTTAAAAAAGGTCTTAAGTCTTAAATTTGAGTTTAAAAATCCTGCAGAAACCCTGAAACAAAACAAACAGGGTGCGCTTTCTGCCATCTCGGTCTCCGTGAACTTCTTTCTGAAACATGTCACAAAAATAAACCAAAACTCCGCGAATACTTGACACACAGACATGAGAGATGTCTATAGAAAACTTGAAATGTTTACTTTTAAATGAACCAATTCAAATCGAAAATGAATATTCTCTGATTATGTAATCCGTATGAAACCAATGTGAGGTACAGTCTTTCCTGTCTGAGCTCATTATCTGCAGCCATACCTGCATGCAAATGCCCTCATTACCTAGATACTAAATCAAAATATCAAAATGAATCTACTCTTCTTCATTTTTGGAAGAAGAACTGCTATGAGGAATAAGCCGGAATTTACCTCAGAAGAACAGCATGATCTGACACGGCTTTATTCAACGGAGGATATAATTTCTATAATCTATTCTTCCTTACATTAGTTAACATGTTATTTTTACATAAACTTGTATGCAGTTTACTAGTTGGGCTTTAAACTGTCTTGCCAAACTGAAATGTGTGTAAGCAAGTGCTGAAATATGAGATACATTCAGATATTTAGGCAACTTTTTATTACATATAGGCTAAATGTCGTATGAAACGAGGATGTCAGTAAGTAATGTGAATGTTTACACTGCAGCATGATGAATGCTACAGTCTAGGAATATTTAGATCAGTGTTTACTGATCTACTATCAGATGTCGATGTTTATAATGTACTAAGCAATAAGAATTTAGTTTATAAAATATCAGAATGTTTATATACTGTGTGGTAATACAAAGTATATGTGCATGAATGACAGTACAAAATCATGTTGTTGTTTTTCTTTTAGTAGTATGCAAAATTGGTTTTAGTGACTGCCAGTACATTTTAGTGTGTATGAAATATGGTACTCATAGCTTTGAAAAATGTAATGCTTACAGCTTGATACATGTATTGTTTAACTTTCCTTAAGCTTTTTTGTTATTCAGGTATTTTGCAGAGTAATTCTATTTGTTAACCAAAGAAGGTTGCATTTTTTTTTTATTCAAATGTTTAAGTATTACAGTTGTTTTAAAGCTAAAAGGCAAAACCATTCCGTGTTTGACTCAAATTGAAAGAAAGATTTTCATTTTTATTGTCTATGCATCAAGGTTTATAGGGATTTTAAGATGTAATTAACGATTCGAGTAATTCAGTTACTTATTGAGTAAAATTACTTTTCATGCAGCGTAATTAGAAGCAATTAGAAGTAATTTAAATACAATATTGATGGTGTAATTAGTAATTACTTTTTGAAAGTAACTTACCCAACACTGTATGTGTTTAAGATCATAAGATTTCTATATTTATGTCATAAGATTTTTTTTATCTCATTCGCATATTATAGGAGTAGAATAAAGTTATCATAAATTATTTCTTGTCAACCTAAACCTGTATGATTTTTTTCCCTTCTGTGGATCTCAAAGTAGATGTTTCGCAATGTTCAGCCTGTCTTTTTACATGTAATGAAAACAAATGTGGTTGAGCTTTACTGACTGACTTCACTGATAAAACACCATACCTTGTGTGCAGTGTTCAAAGACCAAGAATGTCTTCTATGTTCTTTGATTTACATCCACTATGCGTCCACTGTCATTGTTTGGCAATGCACAGTGTGAACGTCCTGCTAAATAAATTATTTAATGTAAGAAAGGAAGTTTTGGCTTTAGAACAATATGATGGCAAGTAAATCATGACATAATTATCATTTTTGCATTTGAGTGTAGTTTACAATATGCTACACCTTTTTCTAATATGCCCAACAGATGTCTAGTCAAGGCATTTTTGATGATGCCTTTACACTAGAATTTACACTTGTTTTTTATTCACTCATCCATAACAATTTAGGAAATCTGTGCTGATCCTCAAGCTAAAGACTCTCCAGAAGTCTACACAGCCCAGCATGCACTGCGACAGGCTCAGATGTCGAAGGAACTGATTGAGCTCAATAACGTTTTGGCGCTAAAAGAGGCTTTTGTCAAGAAGATGTGTCAGAATGATAATCATTTGGAGCCCATGCAAACAGAATATCAGGTAAGGCTGAAAACCAAATCATAAAAATGATATTGGTGAATGCTGTGTAAGTGGTGTTGAAATGTTTGTTTCACATCTCCAGGAGAATATTCAAAGCCTGCAGGCTTCAGTCGGCTCTCTGCAGAAAGAGAAGGAAGATCTCATCCAGGCTCTGCAGTCTGCTAAGAAGGACACCAATCAGGCCAAGTAACTCAATATCTGTGCTGGTTTCTCTCTAAACTTGAACTGCCAGTTTTACTGCTGCAACACAATGGCATGCTAATGATAGTTTAATATTTCCATTCTCTTGTATTGTCTTGTTTTGTCTTGTTTCACTCTAGACTGAGTGAACAACGCAGGAAGAGACTTCAAGAGCTGGAAGGTCAAATCACTGAGTTAAAGAAGAAGCTTCAAGATCAATCTAAGCTGCTTAAGCTCAAAGAGTCATCTGTGCGCAGTCTGGCTAAACTCAACCTGGAGATTCAGGTTTGTGTTTACAAACCCTCACATGTTTAATCTGTTGATTAGGGATGGAAAGTTCTACCAAATTGTAAGGACAAAGACAAAAAGGGTCACTGTATGGTATGCAATATGATATCAACGAGGAAAAAAATTATTTGTGATGTTTTTCCTGCTTAAAATTGGACACTATTACAGTATCAATAAACATTTTCATA